TACCCTGTTGTTGTTTTGCACTCATTGGGATGGTGAAATATTCTGGGACAACCTTTTCAATACCAGCAAGTCCCAGATAGAATAGGTGAATTTAGCTGGTTGGGAGCTCTGGTCACTAGCCACGAAACACTCTGAAAAGGGCTAAGTGAGGGTACCCGAAAACTTTCCCTTCTCTCTCAGGCAGGTATATACCCGCCTAGAAGGTCCTTTCCCCTGAACTCTTCCCGGAAGACGGGGAGGGGCGCTAAAGCGAACATTTAAGGTGGGATATGGAGCTGGAAACCCCAGGCTATTTATTGGTGTAGAATTGAAGAAAAAAAGATGCAGTTTTTATGCTGGCGGAAGGGAAAAAAGGTCAAAGGTTTTGTTGGGGGACAAACCCGAATGGACCGTGGTGCTAAATCCCCTCGTCAATGGTCGGGCTAGGGCTGGGGAGCGGTTCCACTCCCGGTACAAGGGTCAGGCATTTGGTCATGGTACAATTACTGGGATAACTGGTGTTTGTTTGTTCAGTCAAATATGTTATCCTAGGATCGCCGGACCGGCATATTGTTTGTTTGGACAAAATACTGGTGCTTGGCAATTCAACAAGTATCGGGAAACCTCGGCGCAAGGAAGGGCCAAAAAAGCGCTAAGACACCTGAACACCTGTTGAATTGCTAAGTACACCGGCACAAGCCAGAATAGGGACCAGTGCGCCCAACCAGCTAAAACCACCTAATACTGGAGCACGATCAAGGTTTTAGTCTTTATCCTGCATCCTAATACGGTAATAAATGAGAGAAATAGTCATACTTTAAGAAACTCTAAACCCTTCAAAGAAAAATCAATAAAAAATCAGGGCTAGTAAGCATAAAGTTTAGATTTTTTTAATATTAGGAAATAAACATGTGGACGCCCTGTGCTGCTTGTGTTGCTTAAAACTTGTTTCTAAATCTCCTTTTTAGGAAACTGCAAGGGGGGGTGGGCATTCTGCCAAGATGCGTGCGAGACCGTGGTTATTGCCTAGTTTGGCACTATGATATCATACAAGAAATTGTTCTCCACACAAATCACATATTCTCTGCCTAATATCATATGTCTCTAAAAATAAACACCCGGTTATTCCCAAAGAAATATCTAGAATTTTTCCAACCATTTGTGGTTGCTCACGTGGGCATTGTGTGTATTTGTCGGTAGAACTTCAGGTTGGAGCGGAGATTCCGTCAGGATTGGGTTGGGTTTCAGTTACACTGCGGGGACACCGACCGTCTCTCCCGAGTCAAGGTTAGAGATACTGAAGCAATTGGAAATGCCGGGTGTGGTGGAAATGGTGACGGTGGTGCTGATGGTGGGCAGTGATGGCGATAAGAGTTAGGGGCGGATGGTTTGAGAGCAGGAACCATCCACGTTCATGGGTTAATTGGCTCCGCATTTAATGGTTTCTTCAGGGCATGTCACGCAAGGCCGAGCCCAGCCCTGAATTTGGAGTGAATATCACAGCTGTTAAAATTGTTGTTATCGTGGCTCCGCATGTGAGGCATGCCCCGATCGGAATATGGAAGAATTAACGTGCCTGCACAAATACATGTCCTGGGATAATCAAATAAGGTGGAGTATTTCTATCCTACGACTCAATAATATCCCGAATATTGCAAGAGAGCTCGTAACAGCGACCCCGTGAGATCGATTACCACCGTGGAACAGCTTTCACACCACCAGCAATGTTCCTAAACAATCTCATTGGCTTGCGAGGCATGGTCTCGCAATATTCAACGGCATAAGGGTCTCACTTTGCTGCAGTTAGTTATCGTGAGCGGATCTCCTGTGCTATGGTAGATGGGCATTTTGGAACTCTTATTTACCGGTAATAGAAAGTGCTGAAAGCTAACCAAGCACAAACTATGTGCCATGTGTGTTGTCGGAAGCCCCGTGCACGAAGTGAACCCACCACTGCCAGTAGGGGGGTTCAAAGTTGGAGTACAGTACGGGATCCTCGTACTCGAGTACAGCCCTCGTCACCTCCTTCTCTCCCCACTCTGAGAGGTGGATCTGCATGCCAAACTGGGCGTCGCAATGCACGGCCGCCCCGCGAATCGCCAATCAAAAATGGAGGGAGAACCAGACTAGACCTCCAAGACTTGACCGGAAAGCGGGCATTGAATATGACGGGATTCCTGATTTTGCCCTGCTGCCAGAAGTGTGTTTCAGAGGGAGCGGTACATGGGTTTGGTCTACCGGTGTTCCTTGGGCTTAGCACGGACGGAAATTCTGCTTGTTCCTTTTTTCCGTGTTAGTATTCTTTGTAGGAGTTGGGTTTTTGTTGGTTGATGGCAACATGCTTGGTTCAGGCTACCAGCCTGCAACATAGCGGTAAAATTGCACTCTGAGCCCCGCATTCCCCCGCAGTTGGTGCGGTAATCGTTGCATATTGAAAAGAGGTTTTACACTTCAGGTGTCAGACTCGGGGAAAGAGACAGTTCCTAACCATTCGGGCCAGAGCTTATCAGGAAACCATATATTGGGGCGAAGGGGGATTTCTACATCTTTTCCATGGGAGTACCGTAACCGGCGCTGATGAGTGACTAAAACACGATGTCCGGTTCGTTCGGCTGATAGGGATTTAGAGGGAGGGGGAATACAAAATATGGAAAAGAAAGGTGCTAAGGCTATCGCGCTCTACTGACTGACCCTCCACGAGATTAATCTCTTAACTAGGAAAACCCACCCCGAGTACTGCGTGCGGGGTGATAGACCCGTCTGTGGTGGATGTACAGTTCCCGATTCAACGAGCTGGTTGGGTGCGACTTGAGATAGCTATTGAATTAATTGTGGAGGCGAGAGAACACCACCTCGCCACCTTCACAAGAAAACTATTCCCCGCAGAATTGCAGAATTGCCGGCACGTTAAGGTGGTGTCCCCACATGCTCCACAGAGTACCGGCTTACGATATTTTTTGTGTGCACAGACTCTCCCCACAGCCAATCGTGACAGGTGACAGGACATGGGCGGTAAGGGTTTTTCGGGTAGGCAAGCCCGATTCGGCTACCCAATCGGCCAATTCTACTTTTGCTGTCACACGTGTTGCCCTGGGATGGCTGAGATGCTCATTGCGGTGGGCCAGTGGAATGAAGTAAGGGTATCAGTGTCTGACATAGGAGCACAGCGACAGACTGATATTTTAAGGTTTTGATAGATTGCTGTTCTGCTGTGGGAAAGAGGGCCACTAAATTAGGATAACACCAGAGAGAAGTCAAAGGAGTTGAATAGTCTGAAGGGCAAAGAAGAATTGGTGAGAATACTGGAGGGAGGGAAGCATGCGGAACAAGTTCCACTGGACTGCATGATATCTAAGTTTAAGAGTCCCGATTTCTTGCTAGATTGGACACCGTAGAGTGCGATTCCGGGCAAGAGTGTGGATGTGAGACTTGCAGTTAATCTAGAAGTGTTCTCCCGAGTCCACCTCGGGCGGCCACGACCTTCCTCACAAACTGCACATAGCACTTTCATGCATAGGCTAACTTATAGTTAGAGGATATATAGTATATTAGGAGAGCAGCTTGTAACAAGGTACCGCGCGTCCGGACAGAGTGGTTGGGGGATTTCATTCGCAGTCAAGACTGCCGGCAATCCTGGATGTCCCGAAGGAGGCCTCAGCGTCTCAAGGAGGAATGGGTGGCTGTCCAAGAGACAGCATAGCAGAGCCCACCACCTAAAGGTTTTTGTGCATAAAGCAAGCTTTCGGCACATCGGGAGGTGGAAGGGCACAAACTCCAATTTCTATTGCCATTACCAAGGATAGGGGAAAAAGGATGCATAACGGCGTGGTTCCGTGTGAAACATATTGTGGATAGCGCTAGCGGCCACCGGAGAGCTGGACAGAGAGCTGTCAATAGCCTACAAGAAACCCCGCCAGCTCACTATCCTTCGTAAATTCTACCCTTGAAAATCACAGAAGATCACTCGAGAGGCAGCCTAGACCCCTCATGTCACCTTCAGCAGGTTTTACGCAAATGTGCCTTCCCACTCGCTAAGTGGGTCCCCGCCAAGGATCGGGTAAGCTGACGTGGTGCATCTAATATCCTGCAGCTCCCATGCCGCGAATGGGGTAGCCTCGATACCCAGGGGGCTCGACTAAAACTATGAACGAATTCTCATCTGTTCTAGCCATGGGGATGTGACCTCGCGGTCGCTAGGCAACTCTTTGCGGACCCTAAAACCGTGCGGTAGCGCTCGCAGGGTTGTGCAACCGCACACAGCTCGGCTAGGGGACCTTTCCCTAAGGCAATTATCCTTTCTCTTCATCGGGGGGCGGCAGTCAGCTACAGAGTATTCCCTAATACACTCCGCTCTAGGTATTACTCTCCTCTTGGTTCGCGCGAGCCTGTATTTGTATGCTGTCGGGAATTTGGGGTTTAATTATTGTTTATTTGAAAACCCCCATAGCAGTCCTTCCCTCCATGGTCATCACGCTCTTCCACACCGTTCAGCCAACCGCAAGCATACTGGGGTATTGGTGTCCAATCAAGGAGGCCAGGAGAGTATTACCGGTTGTTGATACCCCTCAGTTTTCCCGATGGACTGAATCGAAAAATTACTCAGATAGTCTCCGCCCGGAGGTTTTCACCAGAAATCTTCCTTACAGTTTCCGTCAGCCGAAGATCAGATTTCTTTTTATTTTTTGAGTTCCCCTCCCCCCTCCCGATTACACTCGAACTCCCTAGCCTTCTTCTGGCCAGTCTGAATGGTAGACCAGTTTCATGGGCACAGACAGCTATCGACGTCACCCTTTTGGGAAATTCCTGTTGAAGTGCTGATCTTGGGCTACAATATTGAGGCTTAGAATCTAGCTTATCCAGAGGGTAATCAGATACCAATTAGAACTCAAAACATCACATCATTTGGGCGCCCAGAGATCTAACTCGTCTGCAATTTATTCTGCCCTAAAGTGCCCTTTCTTTAAAGATAGCATAACCTACAGCGAGAGGTTTTGTTCCCATAACAAAGAGAATCAAGCACTTGATTACCGTAGGGATCGAACTCACAACCTCTCGAGATCAGACGAATTGTAGTTAAGCGCCTTACCATTGGGCCACGCAATCGATGAGAGCAGCTAGCCTCAGATGTCGGAACCCATGATCTGGAGTGGATTGAGCTTGTCTCGCCTCCGCTTTGACAGATATTCCCATTAAGGTCAGTAAAATGCTGGCACATATCGCCCGTGGGTGGGGATTGAGTATAATTGAGCCAGCAGTTGTCGGTCGGGAGAAAAAGGCAGCATTACCGCATCGAGGATGGGGGATTGGTGGTGCAACTGGATCCCCTGCTCCATACACCTGGCAAAAGTGAAACAGACAAATCAATATCCTGAACTAGTTATCATTATAATTTTCTCCCAGCTCCCAGGCTCTACTACAGTAAATAGGTGTCGAGGTCTACGGTGATAAGATGAAATGGTTGAAGCAGCGAATGCTACATGGTTAAAACAGGCAAACCCTACCTCAGGCTCGCTACGGCGGCTATATTAGGCTAAATCAGAGAAGTAATGACTAATACAGGAAGCTGGAGGCGGATAGAATTTGTGGGGTCATAATCCTGGCTTTTGATGTCGGCGGAGCTAGGGCAAGGAGGCCCACCTCTGAACTTACGAGTGATGGTCCATGACTATTTCGTGAGTTTGCTTGTTGGGGTACATTAGAACCGTGTTATCTTCGCCAGATAGGCCCCCACAATAGAAAATCAATTGCTACACGGACGGCGTTTGACTAGATCCTAAGAGGGTCTTATTGGGCATTAAAACATGAAGAACGAAAACACACCGAATTTAAAACATCTAATCAGATCTGTTACACTCCTTCCTTCTACTCTATCTCCTCCGGTCTCCCAACAACGACCTGAAAGCATACCCAGACGGCAGTGCGGAACAGGCAGGAGAAAGGAAACATGAAGAGAGCAAAAACAGAATTAACAAAAATCTTGGATTTGGTGGAAAATAAGAAATGAGACTTCCTGCAGAATCTAGGCGTTGTCTGGAGATGGGTGCTGCCGGACCGCAGGTGCGAACACAGTAGCAAATAGAGAAAATTGCTATCAACTTCCTTGAGACCCCAAGGAGCCGCTGCTACTATTTCTCGTTATGTACTGTCATCCTGAGAAAACTGGGTGCTATCAGGGTCATCTCATAAGGCTGCTGTTCTCTGTGAACGATTCAATATTATAGGTTTGCCTAGTGGGGGCTAGGTGGCGTTAAGATAAGTCAATGACAAGATTTAGAAGAGCAGTTCCCCACCCCACCTTCTTGGGGCGTAATAAGCATGACATTAGGACTAGAATTAAGGCCCCTAAATCCAACCTCACCCATACCCCTATGCATTCTCGAAGGTATGATCCCATAGCCTCGCTCCTTGAGTATAAACCTAGCAAAAGTTGTTTCAGTATAATCGGAAATTGACCACTTTATGACTTCTTGAGGGCACTCCAGTTTAACGAGAACGACATTCGTCGGGGGACCCATGGGCTTTAGTGCAAGCGACAACCGTTGGCAAGAATCTTGACAACCCCCACCCATGCCAATGGATGCAAATCCTCTATTGCGCTCTCTTTCTTGACTGCCGGGGGCTGACCCCCACTGCCAGCTGGGGTGGCGGTAATCCTGGAAAGGAGGGTGGGGGGAAGTAAGGGGGGGGGGAAGAAATTTTACATGCATAACACCTGAATGAACAAAAACACTACTCGTCGAGGCTGCGAACCGCTACGGAAAGCCAACGCCTTCGGGAGCGGGAGCCGATGCTCGGGGTCTCAAGTGAGTCCTTGCCACGATGCTTGCATACCGTGATTCATCCCCTTCACCCCTTTAACCTTCTCGTAAGCCACTATAAAAGCCTATCGGATATGATACAAGTTAATGTTTTATACTAGAGTAGATAGATCTCCCAGTATTTCAATTGCGAACTTATGTGGTTCGTGTTTAAAAGGTCGTGCGTTCAAGCAAACTCCTAGTTCTTACTCTCGGACTTGCTGCAGTATCAAATGTCGGTGATTGTTGGGCTGAACGATGCATTCCACCGTGGCTGCAAAGTTTGCTTCTTTAATGCAGCGAAATTTTGATTGGTTGTTTGCGCATATCACTCAGATGCAGCTCCTGAAAGGGCGAATCTGGAGGATGTCTCACTGGAGGGGCTACTTCCCTGTGTGCCACAACAGCAGTGCGATGCCGAACATGAGGAGGCCACCAAAGATACAAGTAGGTGCTCAAACATAGAAGAGTATGACACCGGAATTCACTTAAAGCCTAGAGATGGTGAAAGAAGCCCCACTCGCAGCAACGTTATTACCTGGTTATAATCGATTGGGCGATGGTATTTTGTGGTGGTTCTCCTTCCTTGGGGTCCAGTGCGTAAAGGTCTACGGGAGCGTGGTCCCAACAAAGTTTAATCCACCCCAGCGCGGGTGACCCGGAATTCGGCTAGCGATAGTCGAGTTTGAACCAGGGTTGTAGAGCAGGGTTTTGGTTGGTCTCCAGCCCGTTAAGCGAGAGTGTATCGGACTGGTGAACCCTTGGGCATGGACATGGGTGATCCAACAGCCAGGGCTTCTGGCGGCCGGATCTTACCACCCTCATAGGAAATAAAAAATTCGTTTTGGCATGGGACTTACTCAAACAGGCAAGAAGCTTTGATATCTGCTAATCCTGGCTGTCCGATCACCCACGTCCATACCCTAGAAAGCCCGGACAATCGCAAATCCATTGAAAAAGAGGGCAGTTCCTGAGGCCCGCAAATATGAGAGGATCATTTACTATCCTCACCGGTCTAATCAAACTACGGTATGGCCCTTGGGTCCTTACCCACTGGAGCGCTCCCAAAAACTCTCAATAGCATATCGCAGTAACGGTACTTCATCAGGTTAAATGACACCGCTTTGCGCATTGTACCGCAGTACCAATCCCTTCCTTGAGTCGGCCGGCGACACGAAAATAGGGTTGTGTTACAAGTACTTGTAAAGATATTTTCAAATATGACGGGTATTTAATGGTGACAACTTGATAACAGCGTCTGGAGACGAGAGTTTAGAACTGGTTGACCGGCCTAGAATCCAGAAAATTTGATGGCTTGCAGATCCCAGACAAACTCCGCCTTGACCGTGGTTTATGCACCCGTTTGCCGTCCCAAGCAACTTCTTGACAGCCCTCCAATACCACGGTAGGTACAAGAACCCAGTCAGCGGCAAATAATTAGAACCCTGCCTATGACCAATAGTTTTCTCGATGTCTCACGGTAATACCCGTACCTCAGTGCTCCATGATGCAGGAAAACCCCGGAATCCACTCCCCAAATTATCGCCGGGTTGTAGGATATTGGGAGACTGCGGCCGCACGGCCCATTTACCGGAATCGGCCTCGCTTGCTCACTGGGGTAAGTACTACAGAAAGCGGAGAAGTGAAACAAATTATCTCAGTAATTTCTTCACGAGAATGATGGCTTGACGCAAGGTCGCAGAGATACGACCATTGCGCTGGGTGATTTTTCAAGTATTCGGAAAGGGAAAAAGCAAGTGATCGGGGGTGGTATAGCCCATGGCTCCAAAGGAACCTGATTCTATGGAAATAGCCGTAAACCACGCCTACCGCCGGGAAACTCACGATTCTATCACTTTATAAGTCACTAATTGAGGTACAGAATGCACTGTACGGCGGGTTAAACGTACCTGAGGTGCAAAGAGAATTTGCGTTGCAACGAAAAATCTCAGACCATCTAAGATTGACTAAGGCCGGGTAATCCAACGATGCTCCACTACTATAAGCATGCCTTTGTCTACCTGTTTCCTGGGCAATCCAAAGTGAAGTCATATAAAGGTAGTTTCTGGGAGCAAAAAAGGTGATATAAATAAAATAAATATACTTGGAGATAGCCTGGAAGGTAGATAATAGATTTATCAAATTGGTTAAGTAAGTGAAATTCTTAGCATTTTAGAAAATTAGGATTTGTTAAAAGATTTATAGCAACTAAGGCCATAAACTTAGAATTGCTAGTAGGTGTTTACAACTTAATATATAAATAACTATAGTATAAAAAAAAAAAAACTAAATAACTTGAATGATAAAATAAAAATAGAGAGTAAATATTAGAACAATAAAATAAGAAATAATAAACTATAAGTAATAAATAAAAAGTATAAGAAAAGAAAAAAGTATTTATATTTTTCATAAAAGAAATGAAAAAAGGTAATTATTATTACTATATATAAAACTATATAGAAACTAAAGAACTTTAAAAGTATAAAAAAGAAATCAACTTATTAAGAAATTGGAAATCATGCTTAAAATTATTATCAGTTACATTCTTACTAGTTTCTTTGAACCAAGAACTTGAAAACTAGTTGTACTTCTAGTTTTTTTTCAATTCCTTTAAGGATTGAGAGAAGATTCTTTCTAGTAAAAAAATAGTAACATTTTACTTGCAACCTAATATTGGATGAGCTAGAATAGAGAGTCAAAGAGTTTGTGTTTGAGAATTTAACAGCTTAGAACAAATAGGAAAAATGTTTTTTTCCTCTTGCTTTATTAGTAATCTTCCAGAACTGTCTATTTTTCTATTATTTTCTTCCAACCCATGTTTGAAAGTACTAGAGTCATTCTGCTCTCTATCTGATTTCTTCCAGTAATGCTAGACTGTTTTTGTCTGATGAGCTTGTCTGACCCATGCTAGTATTATTCTCAGTTGAGGTAGTATATCAGTAAAAAGTAATTCTAGGTCAGATGCATCTGTATTGTATCTAGATACAGCCCAGAGTATAGCTATAGCCTGTGCATCCTGTACATCCTGTACTTGGATGTCAGATCTTGTTGTGTCTTGAGCATTCTAGAGAGTTGGCTAGGGTGTAGCCATATCTGGATTGTGTTGTAAGTGAAGTTGAACTACTAGTCCATATCCTAAAATCTTAAGTGCTTATATCCACACTCTGCTACTCATATATACCACCTGTTCTGAGTCATTTTCATCTGTATAACTGTCTATCTCACTACTACCCTCTACTGTCTACTCTCTAGTGCCTTCTCCTATTGCCAACCCTCCTACTACCCACCCTCTTACTACTACTTTGA